GCTTTTTCTCAAAGTGACCTGATTGGTAGAATTTTTTCTTTACTCAAAAATTATTTTAATGTATTTTAAATGTGGGTCAAGACTGGCCAAACTCACATGGCCCACAAATCAATTTATTAAATCTGGTCCAAATACTAAGTTTTACATCTGGCCCAAATCTTGTGTGTTGCCTTAAAGACGGTGCCACCTCTGCCAAACCTGGGCCATGTTTGGCCCACATGCTGTATGCCAGTGGCAGATAAATGCCTGCTGTGCCTGCTTTATGCCAAATCTGGGCCAGAATTCTTTGCTACTAGAGTATGGCCGCACAATAAATAGAAAAAGGGTCAACAACGCAGATCAGGGAAGGACTGGGACAAAAAAATCAGCTCTGGCATTTTGGGCCAGAGCGGCCCACTATACAATCAAAATGCTACCCATCTGTGCACGCCCTTGAGTATATTTACCAACGCCTATTCTTAAAAAACACAAAAGCCATATATATATAGGAAATAATGAGAGTTGACTAATTAAAAACTTGTAAATTTGTAAAAAATGTAATTTATTATTAAAATAAAAGTATAATCCACACTGGAAGACCATCTTGTGTGTGCCTGTGTGTTTTGAGGGAGCCTATATTAAATAATGAACATAACAACTGCCTGTTTTTTGTGTATATCACATAATTTCCCAATAGTATGTGTAACCCCGCCGGTCCTACGCCACCCAACCTGCTTCGAGCTGGTATCGAACCGGCAACCTTCTGTATGGGAGTCTGTTGCTCTAACAAGAAGGCTAAAGACCATGGCCTCTTGCATCATTCGCTAGAGCACCTTTAGAGGTCAGAGGAGTGAGGTTTTACCGCACAGCACTTACTAGCTGGCCTCCGTTACATTCACCCCCCTAAACCTCACTCCCATCCGGGTCACGGCACCAATGTTTCCCACCTGTCCTACGCCACCCAACCCGCTCCGGGCTGGTATCGAACCGGCGACCTTCCGCATGGAAGTCGGTTGCTCTAACAAGGAGACTAAAGATCATGGCCTCTAGCATCTGTCGCTAGAGCACCTTTAGAGGTCAGAGGAGTGACGTTTACCTGCACAGCATTTACTAGCTGGCCTCCGTTACATATGCACCCCTATGATGATGAAGAAATACTAAGACCCAGCATTTTTTTACAGTGTACATACTGAATACGTTTAAATCTGCCGCATGCTTTAGTATCATGTACACTAAATAAAGGTATTCAATGATGATTTCTTGTATTAACTTTTTTTTTTCTTAAGTTAAGTGGTTGTAAACAATTGATTTGAGCTGAATTTGAACAAACAAATTAAGTTAAACATTGCTAAATTTAATTTGGTTCTTTAAATTCAACATATATAAATTGTTTGCAACCATTTTGCAGACATCATTTGTGTGTATTTTAATGCTATAAAAACACAGAACTGTTCTGATACTCTCTGTAGTCCCCAGGTCATTGATTTACAGAATAATACAATTACTGGGAACCAAACGAATCACACAGACAACAACGTAGAAAAAAATATACATCAACAGTTAAACGCTTTGCTGATGTGTAGTTTTGCTGTTGGCACAGGATATGAGGAGGCTGTTTTCTGTCCTCCAGCAAAGGAAGCAGCCGTTCCCTGCTGATCATTTTGGGTGTTATTCTGTTATCTAGCACAGACATGTGACACCGTTCACAATACTACACAAAGACACACACACATACAAAATCTGTGACTTTACCCAATCAAATAATGTTTTTAATCTGTTTTTCCTATGTTTTGTTGAGTATATTTTACTTCTTTTAATTATTTTTTCTTTCTTTTGCAACAGTGGAAAACAAACAATAGTTACTGCAACTTAAAATGTTTGCCTACACCAGAAACACTCTTTAAAAAGGAGTTGCCTCAACACCATACCAGTGTATGGAGCCAGTGTTTAAAACTGTTGCCACATTTGCCCAATTGGAAACCTGGAACTTAAATCTGTGGCACTTAGGGGAAAAAGTCCACAAAAAAATACACTGTAAAAAAAATCTTCATGATTTCAATGGTAATAAACTGTAAAAAAAGCTTTGGTAAAAATCTGTAACCTGTTTAACAGTAAGTTTCCATGATTTATATGGTGAATAAGCATAAATTCCAACCCAAGCTCATTCTGATAATGTACCCCTATATACAACTCTGGAGAGTGCCAAATACATCCCAGGAGGTATGCTTTTTGAGAACTCAAATTTTTCTCGCGAGAGCCATTCGTGCTCATGTATATCCACCAGAGGCCGCTGTCAACAGACTGACTGACTGACTGACCGATCGAAAGACCCACCCTACTCCTTCATTAAACCCAGGGCTTCTTTTGTGCAGGAACACGACAGATCCGGCACCTCTGAAATCTGATCCAATACCTAATTTTATCGATACCCCTCCTCGACCGCCCTCCGTCCCCATTTGCTGTTCACTTTCATTTTCTTCCATGACTCCCCAACCCACTTCACTTTCATCCGCGACAACCCCCCGCTATTCACGTTTCCCTCCCCCTCCCCCAAGGTTCGCAACACCTCTCCTTCCTCGGGTAACATGCTGGATCCGTTACCCCAATCTGTTCCGAGACCTTGGGATTCTTGAATTAAGCACTCCCTAAACCCAACCAATAGCAAAGACTATAGAATACACAAGAATACACAAGGCATGTCACAAAAGTGTAATGGTTAATATGGTGAATAAAGCCTTGCCCACTTGTACAGGAGCCAATCATCGATTGCTATACACTGACAATACTCCGGGAAAGGGGCTTAGACCAGACAAGAGTTTCTGCAGATGTTGTTGTTTATTTTTATTTGTGATTCCTAATATGAAATTCAGTAGTAAGCTTGACAAACAGTTTTGGAGAATTTGATGTTTCCCCATTCAGACAGAATGCCTGAGCATACTGCGTTACAGGTGTTTCAAAGATGGCTGCCAAGTGAAATGACTTGCCTTAAAGGGACTTTGCCAATAGTGTTTTCAAAAGCACCGATTGACCCGCCCACCCACATCCTTAGAGCTAACCGACAATTTTAAAAAGCAATCTAGACAAAAAAAGCCCTCACCCTTTACCACATTCTCACCCTGTTATTTACTTGTTTATTTTATTGGCTTCTGTTTTTGTCTTACCTGCTTTCAGGAACTGCTTTTCAATCAATAAAATTGGTTGGGTTTAGAGAAGGAGGAGGGTGGGTCAGTAGTCAGTCAGTCATTCAGTCAGTCAGTCAAACAGTCAGTCAACAGCGGCCTCTAGTGGGTTTATGCGAGAACAGCAGCAGCAAATGGCACTTGCGAGAGAAATTTGATGAATGAAAAAGCATACACAGTGGCCTCTCGTGGATACGCGAAAACAAAAACATATTTCACTGCCTCCAGAAACGTATATAGAGGTACGTTTTCAAAACGAGCCTGGGTTGGTGTCATGACTGTGATTGTCCACCAGATGCCAATGTAGTTCGCTAGCAACTCCCTGTGAACTACAGTGGTGAAAGAACTACATACCCACACATTCCTTCGCGCACACACCCAGTCTTTCATATATACTTATTTGCAATCACAGCTGTCTCTGTTTCCCCGTTGATTACCTGGACTATATATTCTACCATTCCACCTCTGTTTGTTGGTTCGTCGTTCGTCCTTGTTGGTATGTTGTTCCTGATCTTGCTCTTGTATCTTGTCTTAGTTGTTATAGTCTAGTTCTAGTTTAATCTGTTTGAGTTCCTCGTTTGTTTGTTTATTTCGTTACTTTGATTTTTGTCACTGTCTCTGCACTATTTCACATTAAAAATCTGCACTTGGATCCTACACCCTGTTTTTGTTGCTGTTTCAATCCCCCGAAACGTGACAGAATTGCAATACTTTAATTTGTGTTTCCATGAAGGTGTTTAGTTGTGTGAATGACACCGAGCTCCTTCTATACTGTATACTTGTACGTTTCTCTGCTTGTTTGTGATGAACATTAATGTTGTGTAGATGTTTATACTTAAAATCATTAGTGTATGACTAAAAAAGCCACAAAAATACAGTTATTCACTGTATAATTTTGATATTTATTTTTCATTCATATATAGACCATTTCAGTGTGCTCATGTCATTGGTCCATGAACACTTCCTGCTTGTTGTCAAACTATTTCTGTAACAAGAGGCGATACAATCCTAATGATGTTATAACAGCTATCGTAACATTATTTATCAACATGTGGAGCTTTCTGGACTTTCAGAAGCTATGAAAATTTAAAATGTAACAAAGGAAATACGTCAGGATCATCAATATTGTTTACATCCCTCAAAAATGGTCTATACTGCATTTTTAACAGTTAAATTCTGGCAACCACAGCCGCCTCGTGTGTTTATAGTAAAATTTACAGTCCTTTTTTTACGGTGCAACAAAAAACCCACACAACAAAAGCAGTTTGAACGTTTTGATAGAGAAACAAATGGCTTTCCAGTATTTCCAGAGAAGCACAGGCCTTCCACAACAACAGTGGACATTATAAATAAACCACAACATGAGCCTCTACAGCACTCCTCCACATAAAAGGACATCTCTGACTAATAAATAACCCAAACATGCTCTGTTTCCTGGCCGAGAACTCTTCTCAAGACACAAAAAACTGGTCTGTCATGTAACACCGCATCTCTCAGCTAGACAGGCTAAAAAAACACACCTTCATTAATGTGATCATCTCACAAATATAGAGCCATGCTTCTGTCAGGACACATGACCACTATAGAGACCAATGAATGAGCTAAATTTACAGAAACCAGGTCAATAGCATATGATAAGTGTGTATAGGATTTCAGTCCACATAATACTGTGTATTCCACTACTCTGGAGCTCATATGTAACCTGAGAGAACCCATTTCAATAACATCGCTGAATATAAACATGAGCCACGTATTTTACATGAAGGCATACTCACTGTCAAGCTCCATACTAGCTCAAACCAAAGCTTTCACACAATCGCGAGTTAACAGTTATAGTCTTACCAGCTGTCCAGCTCCAGCTCAAGCAGAGACTGGGTTTTCTCGGAGTTGCACTGCAAACACCACATATCTGCAGAGGAGCACGCGTCCACAACACACCAAACTCAACCATCACTGGATCCAGACGCTCTCCACAGCTCTGAAGCTCAGCGTGTGCGTGTTTGTCTGTGCGTGTATGTGTCCGAGGTCTGTGTGTCACATCAACCCGGGAGGAATTCACCAGCAGATCAGAAACCGAAAGGCGTGAAACACAAGCGCACTGCTTTAGATGTACGAGGCTGAACTTCTGGAAAAGAGGGGAGGAATGAGTGAGCATTCGCAGGGTGACTTCTGCACAGGCGGCAGAGGAATGCAAGTGGGAAAAAAAAGGAAGCGCCTCTATTAATAGAGCATATGAGAGAGAGAGAAAGAGAGAGAGAAGGAGAGAGATTCAAACCTCTTTATTGCTTTAAACCAACACCCAAAACCTAATCCAACTGAGATTCTGTTCTACATTTCAAAAGTACAAACATTTACAACACAAAAAAGGCAAAATGACCCCTAAATCAATTAAAGGCTAACCTAAAAAAACATAATTTCTTTATGTTATAAACCAGACATAACAGATTTTCAAGGGACCATATGTTTATAAATTCTTCTACATTTTTAGGAGACTTAATCTGGCTTTCAATAATCTGACCAATACTGTTTACATCACTGTCTAAAAACTCTCCAACTCTATTTCTGCAACTTGAAAGTCATTTCTGCTTGACCAAAATACAAAATTAAACAACTGACATATCCCTCTCCATTTCTGACAATATTTTAATATTTTTACACATATCTTTTCAATAATCTATTAGTCTTTATTTCTTAATTGTGTGTTTGTGTTTGTGTGGGTGTGTGTGTGGGTGTGTGTGTGTGTGTGTGTGTGTGTGTGTGTGTGTGTGTGTGTATATATATATGTATATGTATATATATATATATATATATATATATATATATATATAGTTGAAGTCAGAATTATTAGCCCCCTTCAAATTTTTTCTTCCTTTTTAAATATTTTCTAAATGATGTTTAACAGAGCAAGGAAATTTTCACAGTATGTCTGATAATATTTTTTCTTCTGGAGAAAGTCTTGTTTGTTTTATTTTGGCTAGAATAAAAGCCGTTTTAAACACAATTTTAGGGACACAATTATTAGCCCCTTTAAGCTATAATTTTTCTTGATAATCTACAGAACAAACCACTTTTATACAATAACTTGCCTAATTAACCTAACCTGCCTGGTTAACCTAATTAACCCAGTTAAGCCTTTAAATGTCACTTTAAGCTGTATAGAAGTGTCTTGAAAAATATCTAGTAAAATATTATTTACTGTCATTATGACAAAGAGAAAATAAATCAGTTATTAGAAATGAGTTATTAAAATTATTATGTTTAGAAATATGTTGAAAAAATTTGCTCTCCGTTAAACAGAAATTGGGGAAGAAATAAACAAGAAGAATATGTATATTCATTTCTTTTCTTTTCAGCTTAGTCCCTTTATTATTCTGGGGTTGCCACTCTGGAATGAACCACCAACTTATCCAGCATATGTTTTACATAGCAGATGCCCTTCCAGCTGCAACCCATCACTGGGAAACATCCATACACACATATACACTACAGACAATTAAGCTTACCCAATTCACCTATACCAAATGTCTTTGGACTTGTGGGGAAAACCGGAGCACCCACACGAACACGGGGAGAACATGCAAACTCCACACAGAAAAGCCAACAGACCCAGCCGAGGCTCGAACCAGCGACCTTCTTGCTGTGAGGCGAACATGCTACCCACTGCGTCACCGTGCTGCCCTTTTATATATCAATTTGAAGCTAAAATAGGTTTTGTAAAATACATGTTTTACATATTAAAAGAACATGTAAATTTATCGTTTTATTTTTTTAAATAACATATATATTTTATTTTTAACATATATATATATATATATATATATATATATATATATATTACCGAATGACCAATTAACCCGACGATTCAATTCAGACTAATATCTAAAAAGATAAAAGGGAATAAGTACAAAATATAATGTTTTCAGTGCAACAACGCTCAACATGGCATCCCAAATGACGTGGCGGACAACATGCTGCCTTCACCGCTGTCATGTAAAACAGTAGACCATCGCTTTTGAACTCAGAATATCCCTTTATTAAAGCATGCACTCAATAGCAATATTGCTAGCTTCTGTGTCAGTCTGGCTGCTCGTGCTGGCTCCGCCTCTGTTATATATATATATATATATATTATTTATTTATTTATTTATTTATTTATTTATTTATTTATTTATTTTCCATCTTAGAAGATAAATATCGAGAAGAACAATTGCCAGTAAAGTCACTAAAGTTATCCAAACTGCTTTCTGCTGATCTTGCAGTTAAACTTTAGAATAAGCAACAATTGATTAGGCCAGAATAATAATAATAATTATTATATTATTGCATGGTGGCTCAGTAGTTAGCCTCACAGTAAAAAGGTGGCTGGTTTAAGTCCTAGCTCGTCCATTTGGCATTTCAGTTTGGAGTTTGCATGTTCTCCCCGTGTTCATGTGGATTTCCTCCCGGTGCTCGGGTTTCCCCCACAGTCTCCCCATAGGTGAATTGGGTAAACAAAACTGGCTGCACTGTATGAGTGTGTGTGTGTGAATGTGAGAGGGTGTGAGTGTTTCCCAGTATTGGGTTGTGGCTAAAAGGGCTAAATAAAACATATGCCGGCGACCTCTAATAAATAAGCCGAAGGTGAATGCATGAATGAATGAATGTAATCCATACTTAATCCCTAAACCCAACCTTAACTGTAAATGATTCCCAAAACCAGAGGGGGATAATAGTTGGCTAACAATCATGTAGAAGTACATGAGCCTAAATGTAACAAACTGTAGACTTCGTCTTTAATACTGATTTGGTGTCTGATATGTTGATCCAGGAATATGTCCTTCTAAGTGTAATCCCACTAAGTGATTGTGTGTGCGCTTTGACAGTCCTCTTTGCGACAGTGTAAAGCTGGAGAAGTGGTGTATAAAGGTGCTGCAGGGATCACTAGCTCTCTCTCAATAATGGCTTGTAAGGCGACAAGAAAACGAGAACATAAGTACCAGATGGCCAACTGTTTCCTTCACAAGGACACCAATCACTGCGCCGCCATTGCTGGATAAAGGTGGCCACGTCCTCTAATTAGAAGAGGCGCTCTTCTCTCCCCGTGGAGAAAATGACTGCTTCCTTTAGTTCACTATGGCTAAAGCTTCAAACGCTTTATAAGTTCAGAGCAGCAGTGTGAGCACCACAAGTCAGCTGTTTAACGAAGAAATGACCCTGACGTGTGACAGAACAGGGCTATTTTATTCACTCGAGTTGTGTCCTGGGTAATGAAGTGCAGCTGTTTCGTCTTCAGACACACACTTACTGTATGCATGCGTCATCTGTCATAACAAACTCACCAGTCTCAGATATTTAGCAGAGAAACACAACAGTCATAGCTTGACTCAAAAGAAAAAAATACTATGTTTATACTGCAGGGCTGCTGAATGCTTGATTCTGTAAACAAAACCAGAACAACCTCTTCCTTTCCCTCACTACAACGCATGACAACCTCAAAACATTATGCGATTGTGAATGTGCCTCACATATTTTTTCCAGATCATACATCAATCTGATGTATGGGGTGCCCGAAAAAAAAGTAAAATAACGGATATTAAATCACAGAACTTTACTGTAAAATGACAAATGTTGAACTACAGAAATTTACTGAAAAAAAATGTTAAATTACAGAAATTTACCAAAAAATAACGAACAAAATACTGAATGTTAAACTACAAAAATAGCATAAAATAACGGACGTTAAATTACAGAAATGAACCGTAAAAAAATGGTCATTAAATTACAGAAATTTACCTGGACATTAAATTACAGACATTAATCGTAAAATAACGGATGTTAAATTACAGACATTTATTGTAAAATAACGGGCATTAAATTATAGACATTTATCGTAAAATAACAGACGTTAAATTACAGACATTTATCGTAAAATAACTGAGGTAAAATTACAGACATTTATCGTAAAATAACTGAGGTTAAATTACAGACATTTATCGTAAAATAACTGAGGTTAAATTACAGACATTTATCGTAAAATAACAGACGTTATATTACAGACATTTATCGTAAAATAATTGACGTTAAATTGCAGACATTTATCGCAAAATAACTGATGTTAAATTACAGACATTTATCGTAAAATAACTGACATTAAATTAGACATTTATCGTAAAATAACCAACGTTAAATTGCAGACATTTATCGTAAAATAACGGATGTTAAATTACAGACATTTATCGTAAAATAACAGAGGTTAAATTACAGACATTTATAATAAAATAACGGACATTAAATTACAGACATTTATTGTAAAATAACTGACATTAAATTACAGACATTTATAGTAAAATAACGGACGTTAAATTACAGACATTTATCGTAAAATAACAGACGTTAAATTACAGACATTTATCGTAAAATAACCGGCGTTAAATTGCAGACATTTATCGTAAAATAAAGGACGTTAAATTACAAACATTTATCGTAAAATAACCGGCGTTAAATTGCAGACATTTATCGTAAAATAAAGGACGTTGAATTACATACATTTATCATAAAATAACAGATGGTAAATTACAGACCTTTATCGTAAAATAAAGGACGTTAAATTACAGACATTTATCGTAAAATAACGGATGTTAAATTACAGACATTTATTGTAAAATAAAGGACGTTAAATTACAGATATTTATCGTAAAATAACGGACGTTAAATTACAGGCATTTATCTAAACGTAAATTACATAATTTTCCTTAAAATACCAGCCCTTAAATTGCATAAATTTATCTTAACATTAAATTACAGAAATTTACCATAAAATAATGGCCGTTAAATTACAGAAATTTATTATAAAATAACAAATGTTAAATTACAAATGAAAAAAAATTTAAAAACAAAATGAAATAAACTGACATCATTTCATATTTCTGCCCCTAATGTGCCTACAGTTGGTTACAATTGAAAATGCTCCCTTCTTTTGACCACTGGGTGGTGCTTTAATCATAGACTTTTTCCGCAAAAATATCTACACGCAATTTCCAGCATGGCCAGCTTTATGGTAGCAATACATCTAACATCTAAACAATCTAAGAACAGCATAGTCTAGCTATTATGTTTAACAAAATCATATTTAGTGTTATGCACATTAAGGGGGTTTAGTTTTTAATATTTTGGTTGCCTATTCAAACTAAATGTTTCCACAGATGCT